CTGAAAAAGTACAAATTATATCCGAAGTTCTAATAAAAAGTAAAGAAGCAACAAAAACAGGCACTTTGGGGAAACATTTAAATTGGCCTCGGCAAGATATAAAGCAGAAACGTAAAGCTACTCTAAAAATGCCATATTATGCTAGTACTTTCAGTAATTGAATGAAATATCAAAAACAAAAAAAGGAAGAAAAGGAAAAAATCAAAAATAAAAAAACTAGAAAGAGAACAGAAAAAACAAGAATCAGAACAAAAACGAAAGTAACTAAAGAAAAAAAGTTGGAGAAAAAGGTATACAAATGAAGAAATTGATCAAATAATGGAAAACAACGAAATCCTATAAGTAACTCAAACTAAGAAAATATAATCATCACTTGGCTCATCGTATTTTTCTGAAACTTTAGTAAATTTAAAAACCAAACTTGAAAAACGAAATTTAATGAAGAAGATGATCAAGAATCTAATAAAACCATTATAAACAATTTAAAGGTTGAAGACTATGTGATTGTATCAATATGATAACAAACTATATCTTAGAAGCTAATACCGGTCACTCAGTCCTCTGCTATTCTGTATTTCTCTACTCCCCATTTCGGTAGCTCTTCGGCAAACTCGCGGATATCAATACGGCACACCTGGAAATCGTACACACAAGATCACACATCTGTTTTACATGGACTATCTTAAAGTCTATGCTATGAGCGACCGAGATTTACAACAATCTCTGAAGGTGGTGCAAGAATATACGCGGGATATCGGTATGGAATTTGGATTGGACAAATGCGTCGTTCTGAGACTTCGGAAAAGCCGTTGCGTAGACCAGCCTGAGAACGAGCAACTTACTGACGGAAGTATACTTGTCACTTGGAAGATGACGAAATTTACAAGTATCTTGGTGTTGATCAACACCGAATGCATGACATTAACAACATCAAAAAAACGCCCCGTAGTAAGTATAGGCAGCGTCTCAGGAAAATATGGGAATCTCAGCTTTCCGGAATCAACGAAGTTGCTGCCACTAATATGCTCAAGTGGAGGCGAGAGGAACTACGGGAACTGGATGTAAGCACGCGCAAGATGATGCATATGAACAAAAACATCCATCCACGCTCATCAGTCTCACGCATTTATCTTCCACGTCATCAAGGGGGCAGAGGTCTTCTGAGTCTGGAGAGCTTGCATGACAGATTAACTGTGAGTTTGGCTTGCAAGGTAGCCAATAGTGCGGACCCACTACTGCAGCTGGTTCGAGACCATGAAACAACTGGTATCGGGGCTTTTCTTTTTAAGGTTACAGGTAAAGCTGCGGATGAACTAGGTCTCAGATTTGAAATAGATGACAACCGCTCTTCTACAAGGTTGGAACCCGCTCAAGTAATACGTCTAGTTAGAGCTGCTCTTGGAAGATCACGTCAGCAAACCCCAACACGGTGTTTTTTACAGGAACATAGAAGATCTTAATCTATCTCGGGAGTTAACTTTCTCCTTTCTTCGATCAGCTGACCTGAAGTCTGAGACAGAAGGATTCTTGTTAGCTTGTCAGAATGGCGTAATTAATACTCTCGTATACCGCGCTAAATTTACGCATATGGCGGATGTTAGATGTAGAACATGCCAACAATACTAGTAGACATCAATGCATCTTTTGTCCACTTGCCCGGTGCAAGCTGTGTCTGGGTACATCTACAGGCACAACGCCGCATTGTGAGTTCTCTACTATCATCTGAGACATCACTACGGTATAGATGAGACACCAGTTCTGCCATACGCCCCAGACGAAATTGAAGCGGTAGTGGCAAATAACAGTTGCCGTATTTATTGGAACTACGCTTTTATCACAACAAACAGACTTCAAGCTAACAAGCCCGATTTGATACCTGTTGGACAAGCAGAGTCATTCGATGTTTGTCATTGAGTTTTCTGCACCAGCTGAAACCAACATTCTTATTAAGGAGAGAGAAAAGCGTGCCAAATACATTCCACTGATTGGCGAGTTGCAAAGAATGTATCCAGAATATGTATAGTGTAAGAATGGTAGTCCTAATTGTGGGTGTTTTAGGGGGAATCAAGGACACTATGCTCAAGGAGCTACAAAAAATACCTGCTTGCCGAGACTCATCAAAACAACTAGTGGTGAAGATGTAGAAAGCGGTAATCCTTGGGTCCCTTCGTCTTTTGAGTTAATTGAATTTGGCCGAAGATCACTGACCGAGCGGATGTAAGGAGTGATCTTCTCAGCGACCAGGCCTTTCGCGTAATGTACTGGGTGTATCGGAGCCCCAGAAACGTTGCGACGAATTTTTTACACATAATAATAATAACAATAATAACAACAATAATAATAACAATAATAACTATAATAATTAATTAAATTTATAACTTTTTTTGGAACACGTAATACATGATTATAAGAGGAACAAAAAATATGATTTTTTTAGATTTTCTTTTTATTTTCAATTATTTATCCGCAATTAAGTCGTGGATATCTGAGCAACTTAATGATAAATTTCGCGAATTTAAAGCAGTTACATATATTATTGACATAAAGGTTAAAGAGTAACGGCCCAAGATGAGATCCTTGTGGTACCTCTCATGTAGGAATGATAACTATAGATTTATATTTACCCAATGCTACCTGTTGAGACCTATTTCTTACATAAGAGTCAAACCATCTTAGCATATTTTCGTGTACGCCGACCTCAGCGAGTCTCGATATTAGGATAGAATGGCCAATTTTATGAAAAGCCTTACTGAAGTCGGTATACAACGAATCTACTAACATTCCGCCATTTAAACTTTTCAACATAAATAAATTAGTTTTAACCGATTGTTTTTTAATAAAACCATGTTGTTCAATGTTAAGAATATTATTGACATCATAAAATAGAAAATCGAAAATAATTAAACTTTCAAATAGTTTATTTAATAAGTTAAGTTTTGATATAGGTCTAAAATTATTCACTTTGTTTTTATTTTCTGATTTGTGGATTGGCACAACGAAAGCCGTTTTCCATTTATCAGAAAACTGTCTTTCGGTTAAAGATTTATTAAATAAGAAATATAAAGAGTGAATGAGAGATTTTTTAAACTTTTTAATAGAGCATGTAGGAATCTCGTCTGGACCAGGACCTTTATCAGGCAAATTGTCTATTTTTAATGAAATAATTTCACGAGATATTTTATTTTGGGTAATATTCAGATGAGCGCTGTCGAAAAGAGCAGAAAAATCACTAGGACCACTTGGCACAAAAACAGACGAAAATAAATCAGAAAAGGCGTTACAGATTTCCTGTGGATCTGTAATTAGACCTGTATCACGAGATTATCGGGTAAAATGGGGGAATTTTTTTGTTTTTAACATATTGAAAAAAATACTTAGGATTTTCAGTAGTATTAGATTCAACCCGATTTAAATATTCTTTGTAATCCTTGTTTATCAAAAATTTTGATCTACCACGTAAAATTTTGAATCTCAAATAATCCATGTCATTATTACATTTTTCCAGCGTCGATGAAATTTTATCTTTTCTTTAATAGCTTTAATGGTTGACAAAGAAAACCAAAAAGGATATGCTTTACAATACTTGGGATTCTTGGGAACATGACGGTCCAAAATATTAACAATTTCATAAAATACTGTTACTGATTCATTGATTGTAAGAAATTGGAATTGTTTATTTCAGTCAATTGCTGATAGATTTATTTCAGTGTAGTTTTTTAAATTGAAGTTTTTTTCATAATGATTATTTACTTTCGTATTCGTTACATTAGAGTATTTAATATCAAATTCTAGCTAGAGTATTATGTGATGGATCCTCAGCAACCAGTGGTAAAGTAGACGACTTTATATTTTTTATTAAAAAATTATTATTTAAAATAAGATCTAAAGTGTTACCGCTTACGTTAACAGTAGAATTGTATTGATACCAGCCAAGGACATGGTGTCCACCAATAAACTAGAACTGGGATCACTATAATTGTTTGGTTTGTAGTAATTATCGATAGTATCTTTAAACCAATTTATTTGTAGTAAATTAAAATCGCCACAAATGATATTTTAGCGTGGAAAATACGCCTGAAGCGTGACGTTTGGCAACCCTAGATTCAATAGTTTATATCGAAACTAGCTTTATTTGTATTTATCAATACAAAATAGTGTTAAATTAAAAAGTCCTATAAATTTAAATTTTCAAATATATCTGTTAATCGATAGACCAATCAAAATTATCAAAAATTATCTAAATTATTGTATATTTCTTAAAAACGTCAAATTTGACAGGTAAAGAGGATTATTTTTTATTATTTTCGAAACAAAAGCTGTTTATGAAATCCAAATTACCGAAAACAAAGTAATAAAAAAAATCATATATGATGATAATCAAGTCAAAAATTATATAAATCATATTTTTAATAAGAAAACACCCTATATATTATTTTATTTTCTATTCTCCTCTAATATTAGATTAAAAAAATTTAGAGTGAATCGTTTTGAAGTTGCGCTTTTGTTTATGTGAAATATGAAATTCTTTATCTTTTTTCCCTGCTATTTTTTTCCGAAGATATCCCCTTTTATGTAATTTTTGACTTATTTTTTATAAAAGCCTTACCTTTAAAATTATTTAGGATGTATAATTTTCACTGAAACCCCATCATAAGTAGCAGTAAATTGATATTTCAATCATCATGTTTTAAATCTATAATTTGTTAATAGCTTACAGTTTATTTGAAAATGAATGATAGCAAAATTATATAAAAATATAAACCTTTGCCATAAAAACTGTGATATCATGCATTTTTTGAAATAAACTATAACAATAAATATTAATAAAATTAACGCAAAAAATTGACTTTTTTTTAATATTTTTTTAGAAATTGTTAGATTCATAAAGCTCAAGAAGTGAAAATATGGGGCATATAAAAAAAAACAAATTTTTTATTTTTAAAATTTGAGAATTATGTTAATTTGTGACGTGAATACGAAAAAAATTATTGTTTGCTTACCATCATCACATTGTGTAACCGGTGTAGCCGATGTATAAGCTACGATAGAAAGTAAAACAAAGATGAACTTCATAATTTTTTAACTGACACACTGTTCACCTAGTCCGGCAATTATGTATGTTACCTAGTAACAGCAATACTACCTGAGACTACTGTTTGTTAACTGTTGCAACAACTTTTGTGTCAAAACTCTCACTGAAAGAACTCGTTTAAATAAAAAACTCGCTTCTCGCTCCCCTTCTTATTCACCTCAGTTCACCGGGATTTGCTCAGAGATGTGATATGTTTATCAGATGAATTTCTGTATATGCATACTTCCGAATTCACCTTGCGTATATTTAAAATTATTATTTGTACAGTTCTCAACTTTGTTTGGAGTTTGGAGGGGTTTAATTTTGTATCTACAAGTAGTCCTTGTTCTTTTATAAAATCTGCTCAAAAGTATTTATTAACACCCTAAAACAAGAATTATTGTGTACCTAATTGCAGTAATGTAGATTCTTTGGTTAGATTTTGACGAGGTAAACTTAAAATAACCTTAAAAAAATTTCCACATTCTCTTATCACCTTACTGTAGAAATTACGAGTTTTATGTAATTAATTATTATTTCAAATGATGTAATTAAGCATCTGAGGGCCATCTTATGTTTACATTATCTGCACTGGTAGCAACTCAAATTTTTATTCACCTTTCAACAAGAAAACCAATCAATTGCACACTACATTTCTATATTAAAACGTGTAACACTCTATTGTGGATTTATTTCATCCTATGAGTATAAATCAAATATGGCAGACATTTTTCTACGAGCTCAATTCATTAGAGGCATTAATGATACATCAATGAGCGAGAAACTACTTCAATTGATCGAAAAATCTTTTGATAAATTAGTAGAAAAAGCTTTAGCTCTAGAATCTTCTGAGTTAGACAGTAAAGAAAGTTCATCCAGTTGTACCTCATCAAGCATCATTAAAATGAACCATTCAATAAACAGATCAATATCTAAATCAAAGTCTCATGGTAGGAAACGTGCCAAACCAAAATTAAAAATCAACTATCAAGAATTAGGTATTGTTAAGCACTGTATACGCTGTGACAAGGACAATTACCTTGCCAAAAAATGTAAAACTGATCCTATAAAACTATACTGTTTTGCATATGGGAAAACAGGCCACATTAAAACAGTTATCCAACAAAAACAAATTAAGTTGTTAAATGGTTTAATAAACTGTTTTATTTTACTTCAATTTTGTATTAAGAACAAGAAATTGACCATTGTTATATGAAAGTAGACATTTAACAAATTATGGTAGTCATAATCCACTTATTATTGAATAGCCTGTTGTGATCCAATGATATATTTTTCAGAATGTCATTTGAATAAAAAGTATCAGAATCTATTTATTGTAAAATAAAATTTTATGTTTAAATTGCATTTTTCTTTAAATTTATCCTTGTCAAAATATTTACAAAACAATCCTTTGGATTCTGATGAAAAAACTATTTGAAACGCCCATGGAGATATTTTTATTTAATTTATTTTCTTTGGTTTTAAGTTTTTATTGTTTGACATACATTTTAATAAAAAAAAACATCTTTTAAATCAGAAACTGATTTCAAATGAAAAAAACGTGGAAAAAATGTGAAAAATTGGAATTTTTTTCTATTGAATTTTATTGTTAAAACGTTGGTAGTTGTAAAGTGCAGTAACTGACCATTAATTTTAAAATTGATTTATCCTTACTACTGATCTTTGTACAACAATAATAATTTTATGTTTAATTACTTGATATTTTTATTAAAAATTAGTAATTAATGGATTCGTTAAAATTACTTAGGTTAAAAATGTTAAAAATGCAAATACTAGTAATTATGGAAAATATGTGTTAGTGACTTATTAATAAACATAATAAAAATAATTTATGATGAAAATTAATATTAATGATGTATTCACTTATTTAAGGCCTTCAGCGATATTTTTACTAACACTATATTGTAGAGTGGTCTGATATAGGTTCTTCAACATTTTGTACTGCAATATTTTCAGAAATATATAAATGTACGTAGTTATAAAACAGACTTTAAAATATCATTTACGATTCAATGTAATCAAACTTGTAGAAACTGCTGTGAAAAATATTGTGTTGTTATTTTTAGTTAAACAACATGCATATCTGTTTCGTATGAGGTCTGCATAACAATTTTTTATAAAAAAATATTTGTTTACCATGAATTTTTGTTCCTTACTCTTAGCGGAAGAACATCAAGCTATTTGTCATGCCACTAACATCGTCTGAACGATTACCTTATTATAAAGCATGGTCAAGGATTCTTATCAAGTAAAAACAGACTTAATTATATTGTTTTTCCTAAGTTTATAGTTAAATAGATAAATAAACAATTTTTTTTGTTAAATTAATTTTTCTTTACTGCATACTGTTATCTTACTTTCTCCTTATTTAAAAAAAAAAGTTTTTAACATGGAATATTGCACTGAATTGAATTTATTTGTTTGTACAAGCACACAAAATTTGCCTAGATAATAATCAAAATCTTAATAAAAAATATGATGTGTCCAATAGTCGCGAAAATAGTCGAAACGGATTCAGGGGACCCCAATACGTAAAAATCCGTCGAAAACTGGAGGTCGAAAAAATCATGATTCCTATACTTTCCTTATCTGTATACAGATAGGAAAGTAAAAATAATGGATATAAAAATAGCAATTTTGTTGAAGTAACAGAGTTGTCATACCAGACAATGAGGAAATTAGTAAGAACTGATGGTTTTTTTAATGTTAGACACATCAGTGTAATATTAAAATAGTTTCTCCAAAAACAAAACAAAATTCTCTAAAATAAATAACAATCAAGCTTAAGTAAATAAATTTTCATCGTCACTGTCATAATCTACATCTATAATAAAATGAATAGACAGTTATTTGAAACGTGTGATAGATAAAATATAGTAAAATAGAATGAAATAGTTTCTTTGATATTGATGACTCAAAATTGTTAATTTTTAAACCAGTTTCTTTATATTATGTATCGGTTTATAAAAGTAAAATTTATGAGAACTTCTGAAAAATCCTGTTTAATTTATTGTAAAAAATTATTCCAATATATGCAAGACGTATTCTTCGGATAATTCATTATATAATAAAAAAAAATCCATTATACATAAAAACCTTGAATGTATTCATAAACCAGTTTTTTCAAATTTTGACTTGGTTAGGAAAGAACTGGACAAGAATATATTGAAGAACAAGGCATTTTTTAATATCGCGTAATATTTTTACGTCTTTCTATCATATCCTCAACTGTCATTTGTTATTTTTCTTCGTCACTCTAACCAATACAATTTCTTGCTGCGTTTGAGAATCCACATCGGATGCATTTTTTACATCTCGAGCGTTTTTTTATCCACATCGGACACATCTGTCCCATTACATTTACGTATACTGAACCACGTGATCAAAGATTTTTTACATCTCAGATGCATCCGATGTGGATTCTCAAACGCAGCATAAATAGGGAGAGTACCAAGTATATTCAGTATTATGACTATTAATTGCATGTTTTTAATTTAAGCGCACTCTAGCGAGATAAAAAAAATATGGATATTTATTAAATTCCTGAGAATATATTTCCATTTAGTTTAAAAATTGCAATTACAAAAATATGATATATGATCCGCAAAGTATTATTAATTATCGTCCAATATCTATTTTAAGTGTTTTTTTTTTCTAAATGATTAAAAGAAATAGCCTAAGAATAGACCATCATACATTGTCAGGAAACCACTTTAAAAATCAACCGACATGTTTACTTTTGGATGGGGCTTATTGTAGTATTAATGGAGTATCTATCTGAAACTTTAACCTGGGTCAGTTACTTTTTATTTACCTATTAAACATGTTTTATTTTATAAATTATATGTCTAGAATTTTATAAATGTTCAATATGATTAATAAAGATATTTTTGATTTATGAATAATACCCAAAAATAAAAAAAAATAATTCTTCTACACAACAGTAAAAAATAGACTCCAAGGTCATAAGATAGATGCATCCTGCTTACATCTAGTATATTTTATAAATGGTAAGAAATTAAAATTAATTTGTAACACTCATTTGTTGCTTAGGTATATACCATAAATCCTTGTTTAAGGAAAACGACTAATGATATAATAAGTATATTGCATATAAATTACATGTTTAAACTATTTCTTAATATAAAACAATCAAAATTAAAAGTAAAATAATTAAAAATAATTTATATAGAGATGAAATCGTTTTAAAGTTCAGAAACAAAGGTTATTGATCCGAAAAAAAGGTATTTAATGATATGAAAATTACTCAAGGGTAAATAAGTTAGAAATACATTATTAATACTATCAATGTAACCATGTAAAAATTATGTCTTTGCCAAAATGTCCCACTTTTCCATTTTTAACATTAATTTATATTATAATTTTTTTAAATTTTTATTTATCAGAGCGTTGCAGAATTTAATTTTTTTAATAATTTCCTGACGATCAATTTTTTATATAATAAATTATATTATTATAGAATAGTCAAAATTAAAAATATATTTTTATTTATTACTATTGACATTGAAAGGATTGACATACTAATATTCAAAGATAATTAAACACAAATTATAAACGATTTTAAACGATTCTGAACGATTCGAAACGATTCGAACTAATTTTAAACGAATCTAAACGATTCTAACCGATTCAAAACAATTATAAATAATTTGAAACGATTCTAAAAGATTCTTAACGTTTCTAAATGATTCTAAACGATTATAAATAATTATAAACGATTCAAAATGATTCTAAACTATTCCAAACATTTCTAAACGTTTCTAAATGGTTCTAAATGATTCTAAATGATTCTAAATGATTCTAAATGATTCTAAATGATTCTAAATGATTCTAAATGATTCTAAATGATTCTAAATGATTCTAAATGATTCTAAATGATTCTAAATGATTCTAAATGATTCTAAATGATTCTAAATGATTCTAAATGATTCTAAATGATTCTAAATGATTCTAAATGATTCTAAATGATTCTAAATGATTCTAAATGATTCTAAATGATTCTAAATGATTCTAAATGATTCTAAATGATTCTAAATGATTCTAAATGATTCTAAATGATTCTAAATGATTCTAAATGATTCTAAATGATTCTAAATGATTCTAAATGATTCTAAATGATTCTAAATGATTCTAAATGATTCTAAATGATTCTAAATGATTCTAAATGATTCTAAATGATTCTAAATGATTCTAAATGATTCTAAATGATTCTAAATGATTCTAAATGATTCTAAATGATTCTAAATGATTCTAAATGATTCTAAATGATTCTAAATTATTCTAAATGATTCTAAATGATTCTAAATGATTCTAAATGATTCTAAATGATTCTAAATGATTCTAAATGATTCTAAATTATTCTAAATGATTCTAAATGATTCCAAATGATTCCAAATGATTCCAAATGATTCCAAATGATTCCAAATGATTCCAAATGATTCCAAATGATTCCAAATGATTCCAAATGATTCCAAATGATTCCAAATGATTCCAAATGATTCCAAATGATTCCAAATGATTCCAAATGATTCCAAATGATTCCAAATGATTCCAAATGATTCTAAATGATTCTAAATGATTCTAAATGATTCTAAATGATTCTAAATGATTCTAAATGATTCTAAATGATTCTAAATGATTCTAAATGATTCTAAATGATTCTAAATGATTCTAAATGATTCTAAATGATTCTAAATGATTCTAAATGATTCTAAATGATTCTAAATGATTCTAAATGATTCTAAATGATTCTAAATGATTCTAAATGATTCTAAATGATTCTAAATGATTCTAAATGATTCTAAATGATTCTAAATGATTCTAAATGATTCTAAATGATTCTAAATGATTCTAAATGATTCTAAATGATTCTAAATCATTCTAAATCATTCTAAATCATTCTAAATCATTCTAAATCATTCTAAATCATTCTAAATCATTCTAAATCATTCTAAATCATTCTAAATCATTCTAAATCATTCTAAATCATTCTAAATCATTCTAAATCATTCTAAATCATTCTAAATCATTCTAAATCATTCTAAATCATTCTAAATCATTCTAAATGATTCTAAACTATTCTTACCGATTATAAACCATTATAAACGATTCTAAACCATTATAAATAATTCTAAATGATTCTAAATGATTCTAAACGATTCTAAATGATTCCAAACATTTCCAAACGATTTTAAACGATTCTAAACGATTTCGAAATAAATGGTTCTAATGGATTCTAAACGATTACAATCGATTATAATCGATTATAAATTATTCTAAATAATTCCAAACATTTCTAAACGATTCTAAATGATTCTAAACTATTCTTAACGATTATAAACGATTCTAAACGATTCTAAACCATTATAAACAATTTTAAGTGATTTCAAACGATTCTAAATGATTTCAAACATTTCTAAACGATTTTAAACGATTCTAAACGATTCCAAATGGTTCTAATGGATTCTAAACGATTACAATCGATTATAAACGATTCTAAATGATATCAAACATTTCTAAACAATTCTAAACGTTTTAAATTATTCTGACTCTTACTGATTCTTAATTATTCTAAATGAATTCTAGATTATTATAAATGATTCTAGAATATTATAAATGATTTTAGATTATTTTTAATAAGATTTAAAACTTCCGCTAGTGGAATAAAATACAATATATTCAATTTTAAATAAACAATTATATTTTCTAGATTATGCTTATGCATGTGAGAAAGAAACATATATCGCGATTTATCAATCTCGGTACTTTAATTAAATTGTTTCAAGGATTGTGCTGAGGTGTCAGTGAAATATGTTTGATATATTTCCAACACATGTAAGCAGAAACATTTTGTATAAAAATACTGTCTGCTATTCAAAACGATTTTAAACGATTCTAAATGATTCTAAACGAATATAAACAATTTGGAATGATTCTAAAAGATTCTAAACTTTCTAAATGATTCTAAACGATTCTAAATGATTCTAAATGTTATAAACGATTCTAAATGATTCCAATCTAAACGATTCTAAATAATTTTGAAATTATTTTAAAGGTTCTTAAAGGATTCTAAATGATTCCAAACTTTTCTAAACGATTCTATACGATTCTAAACGGTTCTATAGGATTCTAAACTATTCTAATCAATTATAAACTATTCTAAACGATTTTAAACGATTCTAAACCATTCTGAACGATTCTAAACGATTCCAAACTTTTCTAAACGATTCTTACCAATTATAAACTATTATAAACAATTTTAAACGATTTTTAACGATTCTAAACGATTTTAAACGATTCAAAATGATTCCAAACATTTCTAAACGATTATAAATTATTCTAAACGATTCTAAATGGTTCTAAAGGATTCTAAACGATTCTAACCGATTATAAACCATTCTAAACGATTTTAAATTAATCTTACTAACTCTGATTCTTAATTATTCTAAATAAATTCTACATTATTATAAAAGATATTTATAAATAATACTAGATTCATTTAATAAGATTTAAAACTTCCTGGTGGAATAAAATACAATATATTCAATTTTAAATGAACAATTATATTTTCTAGATTATGCTTATGCATGTGACACAGATGAATATATCGCGATTTATCAATCTTGGTACTTTTATTAAATTAATTCAAGGGTTGACCTGAGGTGTCAGTGAAATATGTTTGACATATTTCCTACACATGTAAGCAAAAATATTTTTTATAAAAATACTGTCTGCTATCTTTATATTTTTAAACAAATATGAATAAAACATGTGGTGGTTCCAGTAATTTTTTTTTTTAACGATAAAAAACCATCAGTTGTATTAAGAATATATATTTTATAATCATTATAGCACATAATAATGAACCAGTTAAAACTAAATTTAAAATAAAATCTTGCGGTATTTGCCATGATTTAGAATCATCTGAGGTACTGGTTGTGCTTCAGCTTATGCCTGTGTTTTAGGTTATGTTTCAGATGGTATAATTGCGATGTCCGAACAAGATCTGAAATGTTCTTGTGGTCCACACCCAGGACGCCATATTCCGTCATCGCACATGCCCCAATTGTTACCTGTAAGCATTAAATATACAGTGTGTTTCATAATATATGCGCAGGACTTCAGGACGTGATAGCTCGTCCAAAAATATAAAAAAACGTTTCTATTAACTTACCCTCTAAAATGCACCATTTTCGAGATACAGGGTGTTGAAATTGAAAAAAAAAATTTCTACGCCACTGGAAAAAGTACGGTTTTGAGACGTCCATTTGAACCGCCAATGTTTTCTACATAAAAAAGGTACTCTTGGTCATACCCTCTAAAGTCGACCGTTTTCGAGAAAAATCAAATTTTAATGTGTTTTGAAATTTGAAACCTACTTGATGAAACAAAATTTGAATTTTCTCAAAAACGGTCGACTTTAGAGGGTATGACCAAGAGTACCTTTTTTATGTAGAAAACATTGGCGGTTCAAATGGACGTCTCAAAACCGTACTTTTTCCAGTGGCGTAGAATTTTTTTTTTCAATTTCAACACCCTGTATTTCGAAAATGGTGCATTTTAGAGGGTAAGTTAATAGAAACGTTTTTTCATATTTTTGGACGAGCTATCACGTCCTGAAGTCCTGCGCATATATTATGAAACACCCTGTATTAACTAAAAAAATATTAATATTATTTTCAATATTAAAAGTAATACCATGACAATATAGGTTATAATAATACACTGACTGTTTATGTAAAGTTTATTCTGATATTCTGGTATTTCTAAACGATTTTAAACGATTCTAAATGGTTCTAAAGGATTCTAAACGATTCTAATCGATTATAAACCATTCTAAACGAATCTAAACGATTCTAAATGATTCCAAACATTTCTAAACAACTATAAACTATTCTAAAGATTCTAAACAATTCTAAACAATTCTAAACGATTCTGAACGATTCTAAATGATTTTAAACGATTCTAAATATGCCTTCTAAGAAAAACGAAGACTTTTATTTGGAAAATAAAGTTTCTTCTGATATATTTTTTATAAAAAAAGTTAAAATAATATTAGGTAGTGGATTTTTGGGATACGATTATTTTTGATTGAATTGTTTTGGTAAATAATAAAGTGGGTAATTAAACACAATATACATATGTAATACTAACCACATCTGTAAGTCCATCTTAAAACACAACGTTCGCAAGTTATTTCTGGCAATCTCACTTTGTTCTTAATCATAATATCTTCAGCTGTTATAGTGTAATGTGAAGAACCGTCTTCCAAAAGTAAGTCGTTGAAGCAATTTTCGGGTTCAGGAGAATTCACATCTGGTAAAACACATAGACTGAAAAATATTAAAAAATCGGTGTATTATATACAATATTAAATCGTGGACACAGTTATGTACTAACCTGTATGAGAATGTACCCAAATGATTTGCAGTCAAGAGTACTCCGACTTCAACAACCTGTCCAGGTTTATAAGTGTGAGCAATTATTCCTGTTCCATAGAGACCAGTATTTGCATTATTTTGAGGATGAGGATCAGTGAAAGGGTCACCACAGACACCACACATACCTCCGTTTAGTTCGTTTTGTACCTAATAAGGACAAAGAAAAAGAGTAAATTGTAACAAAATTAGTTATTATGTACTTACGTAAGCTCCCCCACAGAAATTCTCATTGTCACGATAATTTGGGGTAACAGAATGATTGAACCTCCACATTGAACTTCTTCCTGGAGGGTCTAACATCATTCCATGACCAGATATATCTTTAACAAGGTATACCACAAAAACTAAGATAAGACCTTTAACCATTGTTACCTTCTACTAACAAAATCAATAAAAATTAAAGAACAAGTTAGATTTGAACCCTATTTTATACAGTTTGACACTCATTAATTTATAGTTTGTTATTAGAAAATAATAAAGTTAAATACCCTTATCGATTTCTGTTGAAAACTTTAAGCCTCTGTTACTTAAAGATAAGGTTGGCTTTTTTTAATGACAACATTATTGTGACATGATAGGTAGTTGATTGATTAAATTGCAATAAATTACTAAAAGATAACAATTTGATTATACTCACCTGTTATAATAATTAAAGCGATTCTATTCCTTTCTTCGTTGTACTTTTTAAACTTTATTTATTTATTATACATTGTCCACGGGGCTAACCTCAATTACAGAACAAGGGTTAACAAACAGAAAATATATTTTACAATAATAAATAACAATTGGTTCGTTAAAAGAATGTCTTCACGAACACACAAATGACAAAAAACAGAAGGTGCATTTGTAGTAGACAAACTTTTAAACCATACAAGTAATTGGGAGATAAAGACTCATAGTAACAGCAAAAAAGAGACAAAAGGTATGAACTATGAGCATACACTTTTAACTGAACCGCTACAACTGTGAAATATGTCCAGATTCGGATCTTAGAGACAATAATTTGACACAGCTTGGTTAAGAGGTGATGATTTATATATATTTGTCGGAATGTGAAATATATATGTAAGTTTCTGGAATTTAGCCTAGGAACGTGGAAGTTGATCATGTTGATTAACTCCATACAGTCAACAGACCCATTAATAACTTTGTGTAAAAATGTGACAGAGAGCATTATTCTGCGTTTTACAAGGCTGCAGGATTCGAATCGGTCATAAAAATATTCTTGTGGAGTGCCTCTAGCGGGAAATATATTATCTAAAATAAAAGTGGCAGATTTAAGAAATCTCCGCTGAACTTTTTCTAGGTGAGTTATCTAAATATTATAAATTGGGCTTCAAATAATGCATCCGTATTCAAGTTTAGATCGAACAAGAGCTGAGAATAGTAAAGTTATTGTATGGAACTCTCTAAAATCTTTCATGTTCCTAGTTAGAAACCCTAAGATCCGAAAAGAAGATGATACCGTCTTATCAACATGAGCACCGAATGTTAGCTTGGGATCGTAGTAGACACCGAGATCTTTTATCAACTCAGGCCTTGATAGCGTAATATCCTGAAGTATATAATTATTAAACTGCATGATTAACTCTTTTCTAGAGAAAGTCATTATGTTGCATTTATTGGCATTTAGAGACAATTTGTTTGCAGCGCACCAATCATTTAATAGGTTAATATTACGTTGTAGAGAGTGGCAATCATTCAAGTTATTAATGGTGTAGAAGAGTTTTAAATCATCAGCATATAGTAAATATTTTACATCAATATTAGTTACGAAATCATTAACAAAAATGTTGAAGAGAAGAGGACCCAGAATAGAGCCTTGAGGAAATCCGGAAGTTTGAGAAAATACACGTGATTTGAGACCCAGACATTAAACAAATTGGGTGCGTCCAGATATATAGGATTTCATGACGGTTATTAACTGTTCAGACATTCCGACCTGGTGAAGTTTTGTATGCCATGATCCAACCTATCAAAGGCTTTGGAAAAAATCAGTATAGATATCGTCTACCTGATTCTTTTTGTCAATTGCCTTACATAACAACTGTGTAAAACAGAAGAGATTTGTTATAGTAGAACGTCCTCTGATGAATACATGTTGTTCAGGTATAATAACATTACGGAGCTTGAAAGAGAGATGATCATGCAAAATAATCTCAAATGTTTTTGAGAAGTTGCACAGAATAGTAATAGGCCTATAATTGCATATTTCGTTCCGATTACCTTTTTTAAAAACAGGGCATATTCGAGAAAGCTTCCAGATAGTTGGGAACGTATACCCGATGATAGCATTAAGTTGAAGATATATTGTAAAGGTTTGCAAAAAATTTGAGCACAGTCTTTAATCAGAAAGGAAGGAATCAGATCAGGGCCGTTCGTTGTTTTTGATATCATTTTTTTAGGGCAATCAGAACTTCGTTTTTTCTAAAAAATGGCCTAGTTACCAGATTTAAGCAAGATGTAACGTTGGAGGCACATTGTTATATGACATATTGGCTGGAATTGAAGATGACACGCCTTTTTTTTGAGTTAATAAATGACCAAAACTGATTGGGATTTGTTTAAATGTTTGCTTCGGAGGCCCTCAAATAGTTTTTGTAAGCAGAATCAGACAGCTCTTGGGTTACTAAATTGGATGTAGTGTTCAGGATTTGTACTTTTTTGTATTTATTCCATGCTTTAGACTTTAAATTGTTTAAAGTTTTTTAATTATTTCAGAGTTGAACCAGTCAGGATAATGATTTTTCTGTTGTATCTTTAAAGGAATGTTTTTGTCGAAGATATTATAGAGTCTCTCGTAAAACATTTTAATTGCTTCATCCACGTTGCTGAACTGATATAGGTGGGTCCAATCAATTGTGAGTAGATCTTGATATGAACTAGGAAAATGAGACAGTACATGCATCAATGTTTGAGAGAAAGAGGTCAAGGATTCTGTTATTGCAGTTAAGTATTGTATTATGTTGAGACATATTAAAAAAGTTTAAGAAATTCACTAAACAAGATATTTTTCTACATGGATCTCTTATTATGCCTGCTCTAAAATGGGCATCAATTATAACATTTTGGTCGTAAACTAAGTGTATAGACATGAAAATATCGACAAAAACATCATATTTATTAGCAGATATGAGAGGAGGAAAGTAGATGCAGAAAACAAACATTTGTTTTATCCAATTTCAGTTTTATAGATAGATATAAGAGGTTCAAAGATATTGGACGAGAATTGTTTTTTTACAGCAACTAAGCTAACTCCACTTGGCTTCATATGTTCGATCCTGCACCAATTTCATAATGGAAATAAAACTAATGATAAATATAATTGCAGTTACTTTATTGTTACTTTGTTACCTTACATTTACATTACAAAACCCTTAGACTATCATATAACGGTTGTTACAGTATTTCTATCTACATAAGTACTTCGTTACAATTCATTTTTTATATTAAACGTGAGATATTTTATATTTTGTGACCCACCTTCTTTCCACAGTTTCATTGAATTATACAATAACCAACTGGTGTTACTGCAATAGGTCGTATGTCAAAAAAATACAATTTTTGCTTAAGATTTATTGGGCGTCTTAGCTTATACTTATCTCTTATGTTGTTAATAAACAGGAATAACCTATAAGTGATTACTATTTTTGTATCTCTTGGAAAATTCTTTTTTTTTTTGACACACCACCTATTGCAGTAACAATGACTATATTAGGTCTGTTCCAACACGAACGAAAACCGTAATTACCGTACAAATCATGCGCTGTATACAATTTTTGGGTAGAGCGCACGATTTGTACGGTAATATTACGGTTTTCGCGCGTGTTGAAACAAACCTATAATCTATTTTAGTTAACCATCAAATTACGAGTATTTGGTCCTTCTGCTTTGTTAACGACCAATGATATAATCTTCGATTACCAGAATTCTATTTTTCCAGTACTCTTGGCCTGGCGAGTTCGAGAATTCTTTTGGTTGGTCTATATCTAAGAGCCCATTTTGATATAGCGAAAGGGTTCCAGTCGTCATCGTCAGCTCCTGCGCCATCTGAACGTTTTCTAGGAACAGCTAGTGATTCAGTTCGTTCAGTAACTAAAAGCAAATGTTAATTAGAAAGTCCTTAAAAATGGTTGCCTGATTAATTTGATAGGGTAAGTATTTTTTGCTTTATTTGTTTCTCAGATAAGGAATTTTTGCATGTAATAAGCCTATGGAAATTTCAGCTTTGCTCCTATGTAGATAGTGAGTTTGTTTATTATCCGTGCGTGTTCCCGTGTTTGTTAGTATATTTTTATATCCTTGTGTGTAGTGTTTCCAGTGTGGGATCTTTAAAAATGTATATATCCCATCATAGACGTTGCACTACATACCCTCCTAGCTTACCACGTCTTTTAGGTACCCTTCATTATGTGGCAGCAGCTTTGGTGATGAAAAAGGTTAAACTCACTTCCTTGGTAACGTCTATGATGGGACAAATACGTTTTTAAAGATTTTACACTGAAAGACACTACAAGGTGGTTCTGTTATGGCAAATAATAGTGTACAAAATGTTTTATAACATTTTTGGAAAGGCCAACAATCGTTTTAAAACTTACTCAGACAAATAACATTTCAAAAAGTTCACATACAAGTTCATTTTGAAGGAAATTGTTTTTAATTTTAACGAATTAGAAGTTAAATACGATAAAACTTTTGATAATTTAAAAAAAAAAGAGAAGACTAGACAAAAAATAAATGGGTATAGTGTGTGTATTGTGTATAGATAGTATAGTTATTAGGTGCTTAGGTTAAGATAAAAAGTGTCTAAATTTAAACCAATACTGATAAAAAACATTAAATTTTCCATTCATTTTGAATATTATTGTAACTATTTCAAAATTAAACTACTAAATAACAAGGAATTGTCCAATTAATCCTTTTACTATTAGTATTTATATCGTTTACATCAAAAACTGGATTATATGATTAAGCTTCTCTATTTATTATCTTCAATAAAATTATTATTTCATATATTTAGAGATATTATAATTAAATATTTAAAAAGGTAGTATTTTCGTAACGATTTAAAATAAATTAATGAAATTTAATAATTTAAATTAAATTTGAAATTGTCTTTCAGTGTGGTATTAAACAGGGTCACCTCTAGCTTTCTTAGGATCTATTAATATAAATTTTATTTCTATTTTTGCCATAGAATCGTCTCCTGAAAAAGATGATTATAAAAGTTTTGCGATATTAGAGAAAAAAATATCTGTCTAACACATGACTTTCCTGTAAAATTATCAAAAATATTCAGTACAGAAAAAATTCAAAATTATGCACTTTTTCTCAAAACGGACCATTTTAGAGAAATCATGTTTGGAATAAAAAACAACTTTTATTAAAAAAATTTTTTTTTCTATATGCTCCGACTATGCTCAAAATTTAATCATCTAAAAAGCAGGATGGATTAAAGATTGTGTTTAAAATTTGACGTTTTTCTCCGTTTTTGAATTATGGATAGAAATACACAGATAGATTAAGAATATTGGGGATAAAGCAAGTAAAATGAAGCCTATTTAGAGTTATTCCATGGATTCGTAAATTTTATTGTTTCCATCATCAGAGAAGCTACAATGCAAAACTGAATATCGTAAGTAATTGAATTTATAACAATTTTCAAGTATTCCCTGCGAGAATGGTTTACATCGATGATGAAAAAAAGTCAATTGTAAAAAAATATTAAAATGAAGGTCAAAACTGGATAAAATTACACTCGATACAAAGACACACAAACATATTAAGGGGATCCCAAAACGTACAGATCCGTCGGAAACTCGAGGTCAAAAAAAAAATCATAATCCTTATACTTTCCTTACTGGATTCAGAAAGTATAAAAAGATGGTAGAGAAGCTAGAGAAAAGAAGTTAAGCTTAACTTCATTGGAACCTGGTTTAAAAACCTTATTAGTATCTGGCTGGAAAACTATATTGAAGTCTGATTTAAAAACCATATTGGAAACAATTTGAAAATCATAATAGTATTCATTCTAATCCCAGGACGACATTTGGAAACCATACGGCACCCAAATAAATGTTCTGCTAGGGTGCTAAAAGTAATTTTTACAAGAATGTACACACAGATTCAGTTGCTTCAGTTGCTTTATATTAAAGTTTAACAGGAGGAACTGCAATAGCTTTATAAAGAATGAGTAGACCTTAATTTCCACTCTGCTTCCTCTGCCAATTAGATAGGTCGACATTATGGGATTGTACTATACCCAAGAAAAATTTAACGTAATTAAGGGCCGTAATTAAGCAAAGCTTGAAATGACATTGTTAATGGAAAAATGTCAGTTTAAGCTTGGCTTATTTCTTAACGACTAGCGGTGCAAATGAGCTTAAAACGTTTAAATTAATTTGTATATAAAAGTTCCATACTTACTCTGGTAGAGCAACGCCCCCTTTTTCACTTTCCCCAATGGTAAAGGAGGTAGAAACTCCTTAAATCTTTTGAATGGTTTCGTTAAAGCTAGTGTTTCTTTTGTTATCTGGTATCTTAAAGCGGCTTTTTTCACAACCTATTATAGAATAATTATTAGTATCTTTAACTGAACTGAATATTAAAAACGTATTGATATTTTTTTCCTGGGCTCATTTGACTTAGTCTCCGATGACACTGAAGCTTCATGGCCTATGATATTTGACCCATAAATCACCCTTGTACAAGTTTGTACAAGTCCGTTTTCTAAAGGTTCTTGGATTGTCCAAAAAGTCCCTGTCTTTTGCAATTCAATGCCTCGCAAATGCACAGTATAGGTTCTTTCGTTCGTCCCACTGGTGTAGGAATGAACTACACCAACGCACACCATACCTTTCGTTTAGACCGGTGTAAAAACCACTACACCTTCCTGTCGCCAATGTGGTGTCCACCGGTGAATATTTGCTCCACCAGCTATTTAGCAGAAGTGAATTACACTCGACATGTGTACCAGGAATCCAGAGCAAGTAAACTAGGTAAATTAACGTGGTGTAACTGGTGTAATTTACACTGGTGGATACTGCATCAACAGCGAACGAAATAACCTTATGCGTTTGGTTGTTTCTTGTGATAGAGTTAACACAATAAGTGCTTTCATGTATATCGTGTGGGTTACTCGTGAGCAGTACTAATAGAGTTGTTCCTGATTCTAACTGAACGTTCTTTTTTACCAGTGTTTGTTGATCTAGACTATCTAGAGTAACTCCTACATGTTCACCCTTCTCCCTTCAGGCACTTACTCGACATCAGGTGCACATAGTTCTTGTATTATCAATTGTAGACTGTTATTAGTCGTTCTGTTTGGATATTGCACCAAGAACATTATATCCTCAGAAAAAAAGTTCCCAATAGGTCTCCATTATAAACTAAAAGTATCAACTTACCCCCAGTCTATTGACACGAGGCTCTTCTCTCTCTTTAGGCATCGACATCAAGTTCATGCGAGTTCTACATTCAGGGCATTCTTTAAAATTTTTCTTCTTCTTTTTTGGCTAAAATTTATTAATAATATGATTAATCTAGTAGGTAACATATTTTTCTTTTAAGAAACAAAAAAAGTAGATAGATATAAAAAGTGCGGAAAAAATGCTATCATATATTCCCGAATCCAAAAGTGGATGATTTCGAAATTACAGTTTGTTAAAAAGTTAATTTGGTTTCAGTTGAACTCAAGTCATTCACTTTTTGACTGAAGTAAGTTGGATTAGATCGTCATCTTTAAGCATATGTGGTTGTATTTTCTCCGCACCTTTTAGAGACACCCTATATATAATATCAATAATTATAAATATTTACTTTGAAAAGAGTTTCACGAAAAAGATAGTAACCAAAATATATTTATTTTTTAAATAATTACCTTTTTTGGCTTTGGTTTATACAATTTTTTCGGCATTGCCAAATTGTCCGTTCTGTTAAATACATAATCATCTTTCTTTTGTCTTTTTTGTATCCTCAACATTCTGTAAACATAAGAAATTAAAAATAATTTTTTTCTTATATATTGATATAGAGAAGGCATATGGCAGTTGATTTGGTGCACTACGAATGAAAACAACTTCCTACTCGTTTATATGTGCAAATGGACATCGGATATTCATAGTTTTATATCGTTATGTATAGCTTTTTATAGGTTTTAACATATTTATGTACCTTGTCTGAAATTATTAACGCAGATATTCAAACCGAAAAATCGCCATAAAAAGTCCACTAGGAACATATTTTTTAACATCTTATAAAACAAACAAAAAATTAATATGTAGGTAAGTATAAAAATATTCAATTTTGTTTGCCTTATCTTTAAATAAATATTACCTTAAATATCTGTCCCGTTCTTTCTTTTTGTAATAATTGTAAATCGAGTCCCAAGCCGAATGAATGGTTCTTCTTAATTTTCCTCGATGTTTTGAATCCAATACGCGCGCAAACATCTTCTTATTATGTTCTAGCCGTCTGAAAAAAAAAACAGATTACAATATCTTAAAATGTTTACATAAACCAGTTTTACTATAAATATTTTCTTTTTCCCAAGAGATAGAGGTTTTCATTTATTAATACACATTCAAATGACATCAAAGAAGAGTTTGTTTTGTAGTGCAATCGTTACCACTACAAAAGATGAAGATATCAGAAGGACTAGAAGATTACAATGAAAAAACGTCTAGGGTTTGTATAGATGGAGCATCAGGTCGAAGTGAAACTTGCTCCCAAAGAAAAAAAGGAAATCGCTGCATATTTAATCGTTATACTTTTTCTAAGAAATACTATTCCAGTTCCTCTCCAAGAGGTACTTACATAAATTCTGGTCATGAAGTTCCTCTTTTTTGTACCACTGTGTGCTGGTTGTTGTGCTGTCTTTGAGGTGCAACATGAAATATTGCAGAATTAACGGTTTCTGTTTAGATGGTTAAGATACATTGAAAGGATGAAAAACGAAAGACTACCTAAAAGGGTAATGGAATGTGGAAGCCTAGAGGAAAAAGAAATAAGATAGATGGACGAGGTACTGACAGATGTATATTCTTTGAAGATCAACAATTGGAAAGAGAAAGCGAAAGACAGGAAAAACTGTAGGAAGCCAGAAGCCTATTAGGCCTACAGAACTAACGAATTTTCTTGAGATGGTTGGGATGCTTTGAATGGATGAAAGAATACCTAAAAGGTTAATGGAATATAGCATAGAATGGAAAATAAATAAGATTGATGGACGAGTTGCTGAAAGATGTAAAGTCTTTGAGGATCAGGAGGATCTGGAAAAGCCAGAAGCCTTAGTCCTGCAAAGCTAACGTTATGAGCATGTTAGTATTAAACTCATTATAAGGTATTCCTTTTGTTTTGAACCGGCTTTTGTTTTGCAATATACATATATGAAGATATGTCTAGATTAACAGTACGTTTATGAGTCTATTACTATCCTGAGAGCATCTCCAGGTCCTTACTAATGTTTTTTATGTCTAGTATTAAATTTTATTTGACCCATTGTAAGATATACCTACCGTGTTGAAAATCTAGTACCAGCACTGATAATGCTTACCGTATCGCTGGCCTGGACATTTGATCAGTATAAAATTGAATCTCAGGATCCGCTTTTATTCTCCTTTTTCTTTTTTCTTCGGGTGGGGGAGGAGGAATCCAACCAAACTTCTTCCTGGATTTACGCTTCATGGCTTTAGCTAATTCTATAATTCTCCAGCTGAACTTATATTTCGCCATTATCTTCAGCCATTTTTCTGGTATTCCGAAACCCGGTGGTTGAGGAGGCGGGTAGTGTAATGGGAACGTGTTTAACTCCATTTTGACATAATCTTCGGGTTCTTTGTATTGGACATATTCTTCAGGCTTACAACCTATTTTAACTAAATCCATTTTTAATGAGTTTTTTTGCTGATTATCTTTAAATTAAGCTTTTTTTTTAATTTTTGTATGATGATGTTTCACTGTAAATTTTGAGGGTTGTTTGAAGTTTGAGAATTTTATTGGGTGGCTTTGATGAATATTTTTTTCTTGACTTGTTATTTCTTCTTCTTTTTGTATGTGAAAATCTGCTACTTAATTGCATTTTGCTTACATTTTTAAATGTATAAGATCGACCTATATAACTTGAGAGCTCGTTACATTCATGCTTAGACAAGGATATGGAATTAAGTATCGATAAAACAAAAAAATTCAGGGATCTTTAACGAGTCAAACATCTAAGGATCGGGACTGGAGACTGATAGTGTGAGATCTATAATGTATATACGTAAGTTGGCTACATATAGAAAACTTTTTTATTATTAAAAAAAAATTCTTTATAACAAACCTAAAATACAATCATCAGATATTAAATTTTTTAGGTCCTATACGGAATTGGACTTATAAACAAAAGTAAAATACCTTTTATTTTTGACAAACCTCGTAAACGACTGATAAAATTTGATATTAGATCATTGAATTTTAGGTTTTAAATCATAAAGAACTTTTTTGAAGCATAACTTTTTTAAAATTAATAATAAAAAAGTTTTCTATATGTCGCTAACTTACATAGACAGTATCAGCACTAAATTTTGATCGGCCGAACATATACAAGTAGGCATTTATGCTTGTTAAAGACATTTTTTATTTTGTCGTTTAATCATTCAGATTTTAGATTGTAAAGATACTGAATAAAATATAAAACCAAGTAGCTATACAAGGTGATAAATAGTTTAAAACCAATAATTTTGAAATCGAATCGTTTAACTTCTGTTTTGTGAAGTGACTGTTTAGAATGACTTTACAGGGTGATAAATAATTTAAGACCAATAATTTTGAAGTTGATTCGTTCAAGTTCTAACAATATAATTATTAATCAAATTCTGTTACGTTTACTTTGGAAAAAATCAATCAAAACGAAAAAAAAAGTAAGAAATGTTATTTTTTAAAATCATTTGACAGTATTTTTAATTCAGTATTAGACAAACGAATAAAATTGTTCAGAATTTTCAAATGCGTCTCTTTTAAATAACTGATTATAGCTTTTAATAATATTTTATATTCTTCCTAAAAATAAATAAATATATATATATATATAAATAACAGTTATTTTTTGTTAATCTGTGGTACTTCCCATTTTAAATTAAAAAACTAAATATATTAAGTATTTTTTTACAAAAAGAGCATTACGCATTTTGTTTTGGGAAATTTGAAATTATTTAACAAATAAATAAACCATTAATATTAATTACCATATGAATTTTTTTTGTAAGTATATAATTTATTGTAATATAAATAATAAGTAGATTTTAAATGTTTAAATTTACCTTTAATTTATATAATTGAATAAGTTATCGTTATGTGGTACTATTTGTCAAATTAAAAAAAATCTATATAGGTATTGACATTAAACGGAAAAATTAACATTAATATCGAGACATGTGACGTTAATGGGCGTTTAAGGATAGTTATTATTTAACGACTATGATAATAAGGAATACGGGTATCTTAATATCCATTAAATGTGAGTTGCATACACGATATTTTCTACGTTCTGCCATAATCGAAACACAAGCACTGTTTTCACAAAAATGTTTTAAACCTATAAATAATGAAATTTTCATTTATACTAAAAGAAAAGTTATGGAAATTGGTAACAGAAAAACAAAAAATAACTCAATCAAAATTTAACAATTTTTTTTCAGTTGTTGTTGCCTGTTGCATAATTTTTTGTGGTTTGAAAAAATATTTTTTTGATATTTAATACCTATATTAACTGTCACATTTCCTGTGCCAAAAAGTATAGCTAAAATTTGATATTGCATGAATATTTCCGTATTTCTATTTTATTTTTATAAAAAATCTGCACCCATATTAATTTTTTCGATAAAGTCTAGAGAGCAAATGTCTAATAAATAAAATAAAAAAATATAAAAATAAAAAAACACTTATATTTACAAAAATATTTATAATATACTCTTAAAGAAAATTATAAAACTATACAGTGTGACCGAAATTGGTGATGCATGTATTGCGATCTCCGAAACTGTTAGAGATAGAAAAACGGTTAAATGGAGAAAGTTTTAGACAATTCTGTATCGTTTAGTTTGAGATTTTTTCTCTTTTGGTTTTTGAGATATTTTGAAAAAACTAAAATGACGCATTTTCGAAAATACCCTGTATTTTCTTTATTTATGAAAATTTCTAAAATCTGTAAAAACTTTCTTAAGGCAACTTTTTACGTAGAAAACGCCTGTATCGTCACATTTTATTTGCAACGTTTCGGTTTCTTGGAACCATCATCAACTTTGTTTTTTCATAAGGGCGCCATATTCGATTTTTACTGTTTTGAAAAGCCCCTGTTTTACCTTCCTAACGATGTATCACACTTAGTAAAAAAAGTTAGGTTATGGGTTAAAAAAACAAAAATTATGAGTTTGTTTGTAGTCAAATGATTAATAAATAATATAATTAAAATTATAAAAACTACCTACTTAGTATATCTTGGATTTCCAATAAACTTTTATCCTTTGTTTCTGGTAAAATTGAATATAATACAATAAATCCAATAAGCGAGCAAGCACTGTAACTAAACATACAGCAATAAATTCCAGATATTTCAGATATCAACGGATAAGTGAATACTACCAAAATCATAACAAGTTCACTCAGAATCAAGCTTGTTCCTACTCCTATTGGTTTTAATTCAGTAGGAAAGAGTTCGCTAACAACCACCAGGGGAAGAGGTCCCAGACCAAGACAGTGTCCTGAAATAAATAGGATTGCACATACAACTGGTATCCAAACAATACCATCTACTAAAGGGCTTTCCAGGTGTTTTAAATAAAAGTATAATGCTAAAAAGAACATTGTTAACGAACAAAAAGCTGATGAAAATAATAGTAGAGGTCTTTTACCTACTCGATCTACTAAAAACGTTGGAATGATAAATACTAGGAACTGAATTAAATTTATACCAATAGCAACTATGTTACCAGATATTTTAACGTCAGCATCTTGAAATATAACAGGAATATGGAAATTAACAATCATTACACCAGATATTTGTTGTGTAATTTCTATAGTAGCGCTTATAATCAAAGCCATTTTTGTAGCTTTACTTTGAAACAAATCAGAAAATTTTACATTAGTGTTTGAAATTTGTTGTAAAGTGTTTTCAATTGATTTATATTCTATTTCTACTTCTTTTTCATTTTTATGTTGTCTTAGTAATTCTAAAGATTGCATTGCTTCTGAATGTTTTCCTTTTGATGCTAAAAACGAAGGAGTTTCAATCAGCAAAATCGATGACAGTAAATGAATTATAGCCGGTATAGTACAAAAGAGAGTTAATGTACGAATGCTTGTCATCGAACCAATTACATAGCAATAAATAGCACCTACAGACCAGCAAAGCCCTGCTACGCAACCAAATTTTCCTCTATTACAATTTTCTGCAATTTCATTGTTATAAATAAACACATTCATGTAAATACCATCCAGCATCAACCCATTTAAGAATAGAGCAATATAGTAGCAATAGATGTTCGATGAAAAAGCTAGAATGCATAAGAATAATAAATTTCCTATAGCGCAATAGGTTAAAGTTTTTTTTCGTCCTAGTCTTTCTGACACTTTGGCCAATATTAAAGTGCCGAAGACCAAGCCAACCAAAGGCGTGGCTGATAGAATGGAAACTTGAAGTGTTGTTAAGGGCGTTCCTAATGGGTTGATTTCCGCATCATTGGATTTCAGACGCGGGAGGACAGGTCCTATCCATGCCATCATCGATCCAACTCCAATCATCAGTACATCAGCTAAAACATATTTTTAATGAAGTTAATTTTCTTAACAAAAAAAATGAAAAACTCGAATGCAGTACTTCCGGTTCTTGGTCGAAACAATAAATTAATTTAAATAAATATTTTTTCATTTTTATTTGTTATTTTCGATTATGTTCAGTTTTAGTTTTGACGCGAGACCTTTGTATTTTTAAGAAAACTATGTCCATCATAGGACTTTAGAGAAAGGGTAGAAACTAGTGTTTTCGTGGAATTTTCTAGAGCAATTTCCTAGAGAGCTAGTTTTTCGAGTGTTTCAGTCAAAGTTTTTGTCAGACTAGTTGCACTGAAGTTAACTATACACATACAGAAAATCTTTTTGAGGACTTGCTGCGTTACTCACTTGAGATTCTTAGCAAAACTTCTCTTTTTCACCTCACATCATTGAAATCCCTTTTCTACAAACTAACATTGATGATAATGGATGATTAACCACTGTTCTTCAAGAAAAACTATTTTTTTTTGACCTGAAGAAATGCATTCTTTTTCAGATTGTAGACAGTAACAAAATTACCATAGTTAATGGAAGAAAAGGAGTATAAGAATCAAGCACCATAAGAGATGACATAGGCTGAAAAGTGTTGTTTCTGATGTTGTATTTGAGTATCACGTGGCAAACCACTGCTGTTAAACTTATATTTTAAAAAATCTTTTGAAAAAATAGCAGCAGAAGAGGCTAATAGTATCAGACCATGCCAATCTTCGATTATTTTCTGTGGGCATCAAAGTTACCCATATGGCAGATACATTCAAGTAGGTGCAGATTTAATGGTACCATAAAGTTGGAAACATGTGAGGATACTATAAAAAAATTTAAATAACAGAAAAACCATTTCACCAAAAGATGTGGCATTAAAAAAGGAATAGAAATAATAGAATATAGAATATGGTTTTACACTAATTGAAATCTATGAATTGTTAAATAATTTGGCGTGTTAAAACGTGCTAGAAAAAGAAAGCGATACACTTTTACATTAGTAATAAATGAATTAAAATTTTATGAAGGTTTCCTAACCTCAGCTGACATGATGAATTAGTAAAATTTCTGTGATCTTGTTTGATATATAAAATTTTCTAAATTGCTTACCGCTAAAAGCACAAAAAAACAATCTAAAGTTATTAAACTTTTTAGTAACGTTATTCCCCGCTAGTGCTTCAGTTATTTGCATTTTTTCGTAGGTCATTTTAAACTCTTAAAACTGAATTGATGATTGATTGAACAAGAACTGACCAGAGTGTCATATTGTGTGCCGCTTTAAACAAAAATCAACAAATTTCGTTGTATAAAATTAAGATAAAATATATATAAAATTCCAAAAACAACTATACAATATGTATCTAAAAGCGAATTTAAAAATTTTAAATTTCCCAAATTGTAATTATTATTAAACATTTTTATTTTGATACTGGGTTTTTAACTTAACCTAAAAGGCGGGAAGAACAGGGTTAAATTTATTTAATCCTATTTCCTACTAATATATAAATGCGAAAGTTTGGATTAGTTTAGATAACATCTTATTGTACTAGAGTGACCAGATGTACAGCAGTTCTCTGTATTATACAGCATTTACAAAGTCTGTCCAGCATTTGATCTTGTACAGCAAACAGCAAAACGCCGTATTTGGCAAGCAAAATGCCATTATTGTCCAGCAATGTAATATCTTATTATTTTTAAATAATTAGTATTAATAATGTTTTGAATTAACCATGGTTATTCATATCAGCCTTAACAAATCAGGAGATGATTCGAAATATTAAAATTGTTCCCGGAAATATTTCTAAAAATCTCAAAGTACCTAGTTAATCTTATGTAAAAATCTGCATTTTTTATTAAAACCTTTTAAAACAGGTTTTTAAAATGATTCAGTTTAGTTGAGCGTTGCCTTAAAGTTTCGGTAATATTATTCGGAAAAACTTTTGATTTTAGTACTTAGGTAGGTCAAAAAGTTATTATTTCACTATACAAAAAAAATCTTGAGAAAATTACGATTCTAAATAATATAGTTTTGACTTTAATTAAAGGTTCACGTTTCCACAGATAAATTTTTTATCAAAACAGCACAAACCATGTAATATTTATTACAATATTCAAAATAAAATAGTTTCAGAGGATAAACATTAATCTATCAAAACAGCAAAAAAAAAATATTTAGCACGTAATTTCAAATGGGAACAATTTTTTACGAATAATTCAGAACATTACTATCAATTTAATAAATAAAAACATTTAGGAACAATTCTTTTACCTGTAATTTTTAGCTATTGCATTCAGGTAGAATTTCCATCAACTACCCAGACAGCACACCAAATCCTTTGGATATCTACTGAACATCCCAATATCCACTGAATGTCCAGTCCATGGTGGATATCTATTTTATATCCATGAAATGTAATTTATAGACATGCAAATGTCCATAAATAATTGTAATTATATAGCAAATTATTAAAAAATTACGCCATTGTACTCGCCATTGTGGCTAATAGTACCGTTGAGATATTTAAAATTAATTTTTTTTAAGGTGTATTCAATATCCCATGGACATCCACTATAAATATAAATATATCAAAGTCTAAGCGCGGACGCAAACCATCGTGGATATCTACTAGATGTAATTTTTGATTTTGCTTCCTAAGTATAGATGGCGATACCACTTTCGTATCTATTCATGCTTAACCCGCCGTAATTGAGTTTGATCGACATTGTTTCACAAACAGACTTCATTAGAGACTGAAGTCGAGAAGTTCCATTTATTGCTGAAGATTCCTATAAGGATGATTTTCTCCTTAGTAGACAAAATCAAAGGAAGATTGTTAGGAATATTTTTTACCTCTATTTTCTTTCGACGTTATTCAATAACCATGGGTTACTTATGAACCTCTACTAAAAATAATTATAAAATATATATCTGAATTTCTATATCCTGGGATATAGACGGACATTTGGTTGGATATCCACAAAATATATTCTATGGATATATCTGGGATTTCTTGTATTGTCTGGAGATACTCATTAGATATTTTGCTGAATATCCATAGGATATCTTCTATATATTCTGGATATAGACGGACATTTGGATATCCATATTAGTTCCACGGAATATTTCTGATATCCTGTGGATATATTGGATATCCACAAAATATATTCTGTGGATATCTCTGGGATTTGGTGTGTTGTCTGGGTACTTTGCTGAAACAATACTTAAAACCTAATTTAAAAAATACTCTCTTAAAACTATAATCTATCAGTGGCGGTTTGACCGTAAGGGCACTTGGGCACGTGCCCTAGTATAATAAACAAAAAAAAAATAACTTACATATTTTATATTTTCCTCAATGCCTATTATTATTTTATCTAATATTCAGCGCAAACCGCGTTGGCATGACACTGGACGACCGGGCGTTGAGCGACGTTCCGAGAATTCCGAAATTAAATGGAAGATGGGCACAGGGCACAGTAAATGTGTGCCTCTGTTATTTTCTCTCTCATTATGATGCGAAAAACAAGGACAACGACAATATCGCTTAGCAAGAGATGAACACATGCGATGGATTATACGTCACAAGCAGGGCGCTGTCCCAGACCCAGATTAACCTACACCAGATACGAATGTACGCGGCGGCAGTAGCCTAGAGCTCCCACCACTTTCTTCCTAGATCCAGCGGAAGAAATAGTACGGACGATTGCGTTGGCTCCAGTTTCAGCCGAGCTTGCGACCGTTGAACGTTTAGTCCGACCGCTTAGGTTACAAAACATCGAACTTGTGAATTTGTGAAATTTATTATGACGGGATATAAATTTGTAAATGTTGTACATCTGAAAATAGAGATGAGACAAAATGTTAATTTTTCTTTTGGTTTTGTCTGACTTTTTCGAGGATTTCAAATCTCTGTTTGCATATTTAAGAGTATAAAAAATTCTGAGTCTTATAAATAATTTAACGGTGTACATTTTCACAAATTGTTGGCAAGGATGACCAAATTCTATTTTGCTCATCTCAAAAAGGTATGCGTTGGAAATTCCAGGCTTAGTTGACAAACTATCAAATAGAGATATAAATATTTTTTCTAATTTGAAAATATAAAAGAGAAATTTTTCGCTGAGAGATTTTAAATTGCCAAACACCTTTTCTTCAGAGTCGTATGCTTTAAAATGCGTTAACAAGTCAGAATTGTTAAGTAAATTGAATTCTTTTGAGAAATTTACGCACATTTCGCAAGGGATTATCACCGGTATCTCTCGCATTTTATTCATGATTCATTTCTTAAAACTCAAAAAATAATGAACGAATATCAAATTATTCCCTATAAAAGAACATGAAAACTTGCGGAAAATGACATTCCGGTGACAATCTCCGGCGAGTCGCCAGCTTTTTGGGCTTTCGCCGGCGGATCGCCAGCGAATCGCTGGCGATACGCCGAAATGAATCTCTGTCGATCGACTATGCATACGGCTGTGTCTTGGGCGTCGCCCGTAAAACGTCGGATAGGCAACTTATAATACAAAATCTTTAAATCCAAAATTAAATACTGAAGAATTTGTGTTAGTATGTTTGTTTTTTTTGCTTTATTTTTTCTTTAAGCGAATTTCGGCAAGCCGGTAAGATTTTTGGAAAAAAACAAATAGTGCTACTTTATAGGGAGAGATGCCGCGGTGCATTTTTACTGTAAAGTGTGCCACTTTTGGCACGATTGTGCAGCAAGGAACAACACTGATAAAAACTGGCCCAACTATGATTGTGCTATAGCAGAGCTATAGTGATGTGTTGTTATTTAACTATCTGTTATTTTTAAGCTGTAATTTGGAACACAACTGTTCAACTGTTAATCTAGTTCAAAAATAACAGGTGTAAAATAACGCCACAACCACAACTCAAAATGGTTGGCGATTGCTTCCTCACGAAATGCGACTTAAGGAGAACGTTAATTTGCAATAACGTGCGTTACATGCGTTATTTTAATAACACAAATAGCAATCG